TCACTGAGTATAATTAAATTTGACAAGTTTTGCCTGCGTTCCTCAATCTGAGTGGGCTTCCACTTGTAGGGGAGCTGTAAGCAGAGCCTTCCAGGGCAGGTTCATAATAGGCTAGGCTGCCGTAGATGGAGAGTAGCAGAAGATGCCGAATCTCTAAGTGGAAGGAAGAAAGAGATAGAGGATTGGAGGGAGGAATCAGAGGTAAAATATTAATGGTGGGAGGTGGGAAAGGTAAGGGTTTTAGAGAGAGAGTTGGAAATAGGGGTGCTCTGCTACAAAGCAGAAGAATGAATGTGTTAGCAAAGGACTCTGCATACCAAATGAGTACTCTGCTGATAGGTCTAAGAAGTGAAATGCTGAAGTTATGTAGGAAAGATGAGTGTATACAGGCAGCATGGTTCAGCTGAAATAAGTGGGGAAAGCAGGATGGGCATTTTTCAGGCAAATAAAGAATCATACTTTAGCAGTGCTATTGATCCATGCAGACCTTTGGGTTAGGTGTAAAGTCTCATTAATTACATTGGCTGGCTCTAGTTTTTTTAGTTATTTATTTTTTTACAGTGTTCTGGGAATGCTAGTTACCATCTGTTGTTAACACTTAAATGTTGAGTTTCTGATGGGGGGGGCAGGAACAGAGACAGAAAAAACCGCTTGGTGAGAGTGGAATGGCAGTAAGACAGCGGGATTTTATAAGGTCAGATTCTTCCTTGTTTGTATGTGGACAGGCAGTGGGTTAGGAGGGAGCCTCCTCCTTTTTGTGAAGCTTTCGTAAGGACCTGAGATTGACAATCCCTGCTATCACAGAATGCAAGGATTACTCTATCCCTTGTCTCTTGAAATCATATAATGATGTAAGGGGATGCTGGGATTGTGTCTCCATCCAGACAGCATTGCTGGCTACCGAAGCATACATTCCTAAGGCAGTAGTCTTTAAAAGAATGGGCATGAAGCCAAGCGAGGCAAACCCAGAAGACATTAAAATTCTCATGGTGTGGTGAAGTTCTATACTATCTATTATTAGGGGTTGTGCCTACGAGGCACAACAGAGGCCCTCATTATTTATCACGTGAAAATATTGCTGAAGGCAGTTGGAGTCAGTAAGTTTTTTTTTTTTTTTGGCAGAGTAAGTAATGATTACAAATAAGGAAAGGGATCAATAATTCCCACAACAGGAGTGGGATGGATTTATAGGCTTCACACAAAGTAAAGGCTAGACAAGAACCCTGAGGAATAGTAGGACCCAGCAGGCACTCAGGCAGCTCAGGCAGCCAATAAGGGACCAACTCCAGGTAAAAACAAGTAATAAAAAGGAGAGAATGATCAGTTAGAGGAGGCTGTAGCTTGGAGGCAGAAAGTGAGAATCCACACCCACATCAACAAAAAAATGTAATGGTGGGTCAAATATATAGACTCACTTTCATGACAGTATCTCTTTAATGCTAAAATGCAGCAAGCTGGTGAAAATGAAATCCAGTAGTATAATTAATGAATTATGCTTTATACTGAAATCACAGAGAAATAGTCTTCAGTACTTGCCAAAACCAGTTTGAGTGATAGATTTGCCCTTTAGACAGAAATGCTGCATTACGTACTGTAGGTTGTAGGATTTACATCTTAATCCTTGTTCTGCTCTTTTAATGAGACCTTATTGGGATGGAGTGTTTCTTCCTCTCTTGCTTTTTTTAAAGGTAATCCTATGGACTAAAGGCATAATATAGTGAGGGGACTTGGAAAGAAAAACAAAAGATAAAATGAGAAATGTGTTTCACATATCTTGCTATACCATGTTTTAAATAGTAATAATATATTAGGGTGCTTCTTTTTCAAAGGAACTTTGAATTGATTTTGTTCAGCCCACTGGTCTGAAATGCAAAAGGTACTTCTCAGTATATATAAAGAAGAAGTGAAGTATTACATTTGTTAATATAATGACCCAAATCCTAACCTGATGACTTCAGGACACCATTGTCCACTTATATCTGAATATTTCTCAGGCTAGGACTGCTGCTTACTGTCTTTGGGTTTTTTTAATGTTTAGTAGCCATGAACACAGTTGTTGCATAACTCTGCTAAATAAATAGTTCTTTATTTTTGCTCTCATAAAATGATATGTTAGTGTTACATATAGATCCAGTGCTTTTGTACAAAATGCACAGGAGGTTCACAAAAGTAAAAACATCCACATATTAAAAGGACAGTAACATAGATTAGAGGTAATACTTCTGTTTTAAAATTCTTGGTGCACAATGCTAAGGCTCATAATTTATTTTAATTAGGTTTTACTTATTCCTTTCTATTACAAATATTTGTTCTTGTTAGCTGTTAATTTTTGTGTAGTTAGGTTTTTTTATTTTGGGGTTTTTTTTTCTTTTTACAGACTGATTCTTATTACCTCTGTCTTTAAAACGGTATGATGTTTCTATTAAGAAAAATAAAGAAAAATGAAAATTTGCTGACACTCTTCTAAGCTGGATTCCTTCACAGACTCTGTTCCAAATGACATATATTTCTAGAAGATACCTGTTCAGAGCTGAATCTTCATAATGTTACTTGTACTTACATACCTATTGTTTTGAAATATATATAATAGTGTATGGTCAGCAGTGTTTATTAACTTTCCAAGAATAAGACTTCTGGGCTAAGCAAGAGAGATACCAGTTTCTTGTAAATGCTTAATTTAATGATTAGTGCCCTTAGGCCCATGCCTAAATTTAATCTGTTCAAATGAAGAGAGGATCTAGTTACAATTGGTTTGTGTATAGTCTAGCACCTTCACATATTTATTGAACAGTAAAACAACATCAATATTTGGACATAGCTATATCTGATAGTGAGAAACCTTGTTGATGTGTAGTTGGGGCAGTTTCTTAAGATCAGCATGATAGGAGCTCAGACGATTTCTGACAAATGGTGTTTTTCACCAGTTGAAAACTGGCGTGGGCTAGATGCAGTATGCCATATGTGTCTGTATTATTGCTAAAGTTAGATATTGAAGCTAATCTCAAACTCATCCTGTGTGAAGAGATGCCCGCATAGTAAAAATATCACCGTAGAAGCAGTAATTGGCTATTTTAATCAGTGAAGTCAAAGACTGAAAATGGATAGAGACTGAAGTCTCACCTCTTACAACTGGTCCACACTGAATTGATCTGACATTTCCTGATGAGGCAGACAGGTTAGGTAACTAAGGCATTACTTATTTGTTGTATAAATTGTGTCCTTTTGTCTTTAGTGCATTTTGACAGGCATTTCTTTTCCATGGGAAAAAAATAACCACAGGTTTAATAGGGGAAAAGACACTACTCCCACTGAGTTTGAAGGACTTCTGCTCATTTTCACTGTGGCTAAATTTGTTCCACTTGTCATAATTTTAATAAAGGTTTTATGGATAAACCCCCCCCCCAAAAGTCTCTCATGCCCTCGATGGCAAGTAATCCTTGTGTTACTTTTTGAATTTTGGTAAATTTCAATACTCAAGTGTTGCCAAACAAATGTAATGCCTATGGGTGTGTGTAGAAGAAACAAGGGGCATGTATGCACAACGCTTTAATGTGGGTTAAATGCTTTTGCACTGTTTAATGGTGTTGGTATTTGCACACATCAGCGGTATATCACTCATTAATTCCAGCCACTATAGCGTATTTGGCCGCCTAATGTGCCTTAAATGACTTTGGGGCACAGCATCGAGTTTTAGTTTGCTACCCGACAGCCATGGAGCAAAACACTGGGCTCCGTGCAGCTCATGGGCTGTGAAGGCACCCAGGAAGGCAGGCTCCACTGAAAAAAACAAACAAAAAAAGTGGCGTGTTTGATTTCCCCCCTGCCCAGAGCCTGCCTGCCTGCATGAGCTGTGTGGGGACCCAGGCCTTCCCTCCACGGCTGTGGTGCCCCCCAGTTCTGCCTGAGCTGGGTACCTGCAGGCAGGTGCCACCTGGCGGGGGGGCACTGCTGTCACAGAGGGAAGCACCAGCCCTACCCCCAATGCAGCCTAGAGACCACTGCACCTGCCGGCAGCTCACTCTCCCCTCCCCACCACCAGAGAGGCAGGTAAGACATGGGTGTACATAACACAGGGGTTTACGTCACCCTAAATTGAAGTAGTATTTTTCAAAACCCACCACTTCAATTTAGGCCCCCTGTTTCGTCTACACATGACCTACAGCTAAGTACAGACAGGCAAAAAGCTGAATCAATTAAATCTTCACAGGCTAATTTAAGAAGCATAGATTGAATTGATAGGCAAGTGAACAGACATTCAGTGTTGAATCCAGAAATGCAGCCACATGGCTGTAGTGGCCAAAGCCAGAAGCTGAGGGGTTGCTAGAGCACACATCTCAGCTTGGCTGGAGCAGACAGCTTGGACTAAGCCTAGCCTGACCGCCCTAGCAGGGGAGCTTGCAGAGGAGGTACAAACCATCCTGGGATGCTGGAGGACTGTAAGTTAATTTGAATCTAGAGGGGCTCTGGGACAGAAGTTCAATAACTTGATTTAACCTAAAACAGTTAAGTCTGATACTACATCCATCCAAGTTTATCTTAAAACAGTTTCATCCATTTTGAAAGTGGTTTATGTGTACTGAACTTCTGTTGCGTTACAGATTTGAACAGGTTTCTGATCAGATATACTAGTTTATGTGCAATTTCTGTTCCTAGCCTATGTGGTTCAGCCAGTTGATATATTGCCATTTTTAGAGAACTGGGTTTACATCCTGGCATAGATCATGAAAAGTCCTATTTCTTTTTCTCCATATCACAAAGCCATCACAAACTTGATAGCCCAGTACTTTTGCCAGTGCTATTAGTCCATCAACTTCTTAAAAACCAACATTTACACAAAATAACAAACTGATAGAAGAATGAGCCAAACAATAAGATATGGAACATGTTTCTTGAGGACCTGAATTTTGCGTCTCCTTAGTGGGACACAAATTTTTTAATGAGGCAGTCCTAAATATTATATTTATTTTTCTAAACGCATGTTAATTTCTTGTTTATTTCAGGCATTACTAGAGACTCAAAATTTACTGCGCACTCAGGTTGCAAATTTTACCTTCAACCTTGGATTTTCAGGAAAGTTTTACCACACAGGTAAGAAGGAACTTTGTGCTCTCAGGCAGCTACAATTAAATAGGTGGTAGGATTTTTAAACCTAGGTCTTTTCTGGCCATATTAATAATGCACTGGCGCAATGGCATGATGGGGAAATCTGTACATTGCCATTTTAGGCACCTCCTGACCAATCTATAGTTCAGTGAGGCAGTAGGCAACATACTAATTCCATTCAGTATTGTCCTTAAGTATGTAAATGTCCTTAGCATTTTCTGAAGAGCATTCTGTCAGTCATAGAGTCATAAGAAAAGGAAAGTATCTGACTATAACCTTGTAATTTAGCAAGATAAAATAGTATGAGTTGGTTTTTTTTGCACTAGACTTTTTTTTGCAACAGCCAAGATATGGTGAAAAGAAGGAAACTGAAAATGGAGTTTCATGACCTCCAAAGAAGCAAATAGATATTAATTTGAGAAACATCTTGAATCATCTTTTGTTTAAAAGGAGACTTTTAGTAATATTATTAAGAGAAAAATTGACAAATGTAGATTATTTTTTAATAAGAGCATTGTTAAGCCAACAGAAAAAAAGTCTAGGTTAAACATAATTTAAATTACATTAAAAGAGAATTATATCCTTATGAACTCTAAGTAACTAATATATTCCACCCATCTACAATGCATTTCTCTGGAAGTTTAACATTGCCTGCTTTCAGGTACTTTTCTGATTCCTTTTCTGTGTCCTTCTTTCTCTCCCTCCCTTTCTCTTCCCTCATTGTCCTCTCTACTTCCTCGCTCACTCTCTCTCTCTTCCTGAATACTTGAGCCTTCTACTTTACCTCTTGTTCCATCCTGTTCATAGATTTCATAGACATTTCTTCCATCCAGACTTCCCAGCTTCTTCATTCTTCTCCCACTTCCATTTCGATGGTAACCAATGCTGGTATGGCCTGCAAGCCACTCATCCAGTCTTTTAAAATGAGCAGTTTTATCTTCTTTTCAGTACCACATCTGGAATCTGGAATTACCAGCCAAAGAAACTGTGCTCCAATGAGGTCTAGTGTTATGATTGTACTAGGGAAGATACAGAGGTAGTCCATTCATAGTAGCTGATGGAATAGGTTGATGGCTACAAAAGCCCATGAGGAAGAGGAGCCATTTGATTGGTTGATAGCACTAGAGCAGAAATAGAGTGAAGGGAGAAACTTCTAGGGACTAGTATCTGTGTGTGTTAAAAAGGAAACAGATTAATGCAATGGAGAGGAGGGTGATAAGTAAATTAAGAATGAGTATAATGACAGAGGCCTATATTTATTATTTAGTATGTTACAGCAGCATCCAAGGACTCCAAGTGGGATCACAGCCCCATTGCTCTGTATTGTCCTAAAGCTCTTACAGACTAAATAGGCAAGACAAAATGTATGAGAGAGAAGTAAATGAAATGACTTGCTGAAGGTCAAATAAGATGTCTGGGGCAGACCTGGGAATATAGAACCAACGCAAAACTAATTTTCAGAGAAAGCTGGAGGAGAGGCAGGAATTAAAAAGATATTGAAGGAACCATCGATATTACTAATGTTCATGAACATGAGCTAATTCTATGTAGTCTTTAGTCCAAAAAACTCTCAGTGAAGTCAGTGTATAGACCCGTAAGAAAGACAGGGTAAGAGCTTTATTATTTTGTCCATTTCATCTTTCCCTGTCCATACAATCAGTTCTGGTCAAGGGTGAAAGATCCTTCATATAATGCAGTGACACAAATGTAGCCCACAGCTATGAGACGTTAAATGCAGGGCGCTGCTTTATTATGGGCAACCATACCATAGAACTTGCATCAGATGCCTCAGAGATACAGCTTGTCCCGCTTAGACAGAGCAAAGTGGGAGAAACCATTTATGTTAAATACTATTACTTAATGAGAAATGCATGAGCAATGATTATGGATTGGTCTGCAGTAACAAAATACTATCCTGTCCTACCAATTTGATATAATTATTTTTGCTAATCCTTATTATCCCACTAGAGTTCACTATCTGAAAAGACTGGTTATATCTAATCTTCAAGTTTTCTCTTCTGAGTTTATTTCAATATTTTATTTGAGACTGCTGTTGTGGGAGAGAGAGTGTTTGTCTGTGTTCATTCTTCCTCTTCAGAGGGTAATAAGGCTTGCAAAAATAGCATAGAGCTACCTAATAAGTAGAAGCATGTCATTGCACCCATTAAAAGATCTGCTGGGATCTGTACTCGGTGATGCATCAGTGTTCAAAAGTGAGATCTACCTCTATGGGCTAATTTTGTTGTTTTGTCATATCAGCTGAGTAGAAACATTTCAAAGTATTCTCCATGCAAACATATACTTTATTGACTCACTATAAATAAACCATGAAAGGGTGTTCTTTAATTACTGCAAATGTGGCTTGTTTACCCAAAGAGGCTTTTACTGTTAGAAGCTCGACATGTTTTATTAGGACATTGGAGCTGCTGTGCCTTATCGACTTTTCCTTAATGCACAATTTTATACTCCCTTCCAAAACTCTGATCGCTTTAAAACTTCAAGAGGGAGAGAAGCCTGTGAATCTGCTGGCAGATTAAATAATTACACATTTTAATCAAAAGACTGACATCTGTGCTATATTCAGGTGCCTACAAGCAGTTAGGATACATTCAGGTGCCTACAAGTAATTAGGATACCTAGATACAAACTGTACTGCTTATCTACTTCATGCTGGCCACCACTTTCACTAATAGAAAAAAAGATGTCTTTCTACATCAGTGGCAATCATGCATTTGGGGTGTACTTGTTCCAATATCTGACTAGTGTCTATTTGTGATACACGCTGCATACATATTTACTTTAAATGCCTATACTATTATATGAGTGAATGAGTTTCCAGGAATTGCCAAAGTGATTGTTCATAACTTTAAAACTATATTTAATTTACATTGAGCTTTAAGTTGAAAAATGGAAATGGTTTTCTTAAACAGAATATGTATGAAGAAAATCTCTTAGCAGTTTGAATATTTATCAATATTTAAACAAGCTTTGAAAAATGTATTTTGTTGTTAACATATGTCACATACTTCTCTTTGCAAATGCATACCTATATACTTAATGAAAAAAATGTGTGTTGAATTCATCTAGAAGCAAGTCCTCAAATGTTCGTTAGTGCAGCTGGTCAGATTTTAAATGTTTTTATAAGAAAAATGCCATATAAAAAGTAAATGGAAAAATTTCAAATATCTCTACTTATTACTTTACTAAATTAAAATAGCTTCTGTTTAATGAATGGAAAAGCACCGGCCCTTTATTACAGTCTTTAAAAAAATGATTTTATTCAATTTTTACAAAACAAGACCTCAAAAGACAACACTTGGAAAATTTGTACCTAAAGTTATTTTGTACTAGAAAGTGTTTTACAAATTTATTCTATTTTAAAGATTTATATTTGTCTAATATTTACATGCCTGCTGCTAATAGAGAAATAGATTCTACTTTTGAAAGAGCCACCTGGATACCACATAAGGAATTGCTGCTGTACAAAAGAAAATTCCCGTGAATTACACACTATTAGTTATGACATACCATCCTTCCCTGAAACTTATACAGAAAATCCTCAAACAATTGTAACCCATGCTAGAAGAAGACCCAATTCACAAAGAGATCTTAGCCTTTAAACAAGTATCAAACCTCACCAAACTCATCACCAGAAGCAAACTTGCTATGGCCCAAAGCACACTGAATGGCTCCAGACAAAAAATGTAAAACCTGCCAACACATCTACACCACTCCTACTATTATTACACCCTACAACAGAGCCATCATCATTCCTGGATCTTACACCTGCACCTCCAGAAATGTTATATATCTTATCCAGTGAACCAAATGACCTGACGGAAAATATGTAGGAAAAACAAAACAACAACCGTGTACCAGAATGAATGCACACCAAACATCTATCAAAGACAAAAATACCCAGTTACCTGTGGGCACACACTTCTCACAAGACAACCACTCTTTCTCCAATCTCTCTGTTCTAATCCTCAAAGGGTATTTACAAAACATCTTTCATAGACGAGCCTACAAATGCCACTTCATAAATCTACTGGATACAAAATATCGTGGACTAAATATAGACATTGGATTTATGGCACATTATAACCTGCCTGACATCTGAAATCCACAAGTAACCCAGCTGCATTTTACCAGCTACATTCTATC